GTTTACTTCAGAAAATATGCGTAGTCTGATCATTAAAATCAATTATTTTTCATTATTCGAACATATATGGTTTTGTTTAACGTTCAGTTTAAAGTTACACTTATATACAAGTAGCTCAACTTCTATGGAAATTTAATTCTCCCATCACAACCTACAACCTCACATTACATATCCAACTTACAATGAAATGTAACAAAATGTTTGTGAAATATTCTATTACTTATATTGTTAACAGTACAGATAGCTTAAATTAATTTTCAACTACATTATACCTCAGCTGTTCGATTTCAAAATGAAAATTCATTTTAAAACTCAGACATATCTTTAGAAAACTCAACGCAATTAGGTTTCAAACAAACACCCCATTTCATAGTTTTAAATGAAATCTTAAAATTGGAATTTTCTTGATTATTTTAGTGTGGAAAAAACATATATTGAAATACGTTTAAATTTGTATCAGTTGAATTTGTTTATGATAAATATTTTATTTATAATACTATAAATCTAAATAAGTTTTTGATTATACATATTTTTATCTTTTAAAATTTTTAATTAAAAAAATAATAACATTCAATCTGTAGCAATAATGAAATACTTTTTGTAATTTCAAATGAGAGTTATAACTAAAAATATACAGTTACAAATAATAATATTTTTAAACTTTAGTCTCATTTGTAACTGATTAAAAACACATATATTATAATTGTATAATTAATTATTTTATTTCATATCAAGACAAATCATCTAAGATAAAAAACACATCCCAAAAAGAATTGCAAATTGCTATGGATGCATTAAATGATATAATTAGTTTCCATTATTATCAAGAATTCATATTTTGAATGAGTGATTCATATTCACTGTATTTGTGTGCTATTTTTTTAACTAAAGTTATTTCCTAAAAAGTGTTATTTTAATTATATTCCATCTATACATTTTGCACTTTGGAATGAAGTTAATTAAATACGATACTTTAAGCTTTCTGTGTTTTTTAATATTTTAATACTTTAGAAAATTTCATTGCTGTTTGATTTAAAGTAATGTACAAAATATCTATTTAAATGAAATATATGTGTAAACACAATCAAAATTTACGGTATGTGACTTAAATTGTTGAAATTTTTTTTTTCAATTCTCCTTCTTTTTGCTTACTTGCACAAAAATAATAATATTAATAATAAAAAAATAAACATTAAAAATATTCTACGGGACTCTTCTAGTTCAAATAGTTATTTTAAGTGCTTAGTGAGTAAAAGAAAACATTCATGAACATTAACAGCAAATTATCTAAGATTAGATTTATTAAACATGAGACTGTTATAAGAAATTCTAACCTTCACTATTTAAGCACATATTTTTCCCATTTGTTTATTTGTTTTAAAACGGGCCTTTTTTTTCTCTTCTTCGAGAACACTGCAATTAGTTTTTAAACTTTATTTTAGTTTCAATTTTTGTAACTAAAAAAAAAGCTTAAATAACATTATTAATCTTCACTGCCCTTATAGTCCTTAAATAAACTGCAACTTCGAAGTGCACTAACATATTATATTTTATTATTCAAGCACAAATTAAAACAATAATTCAGAAAAACTATCATCCTTAATTATCTAACAAATGATTTATTCGAACCGAAACATAAATATTGGTTTTTAACCATATAATTTAAAATTCTTAACTTCTAATATTATTGAAAGAAATTATCCCCTTGCTTAAACATTTAAATAAATTAGAATATCAATAAAAGTCATGCTTCCTACTATTTAAATATTTAAAATTTCAAGAAAATTTGAGAAATGTTGCAAACTGGTAAATGGAAAAATAACAAATGCAGGATCATTTTAAAAACACTCGAATTCCCTGGTTAAGTAGTTAGTTTTGGATTTAAAACATTTGCTTACTCGCCCAAGTTCTAAATTAGAATGAAATAGATAAAAATGGACGTCACCAACGATGCATTTTAAACAAGCCTAAAGAAGAATAAGAATATAAGCTTTTGTTTCATTGAATCATTAAAAAATTGCGATTTTAGGTAAAGTTATATTTATTCCAGCTTCAACAACAATTATAAAAGCATTTATAGGAAGAAAAATATTTTTTCTTTAATTTTCTAACAATAAGATAATAAAATACAAACTCTACAATCTTCATTAATAAAAAAAAATAAAAGTGAACTTCTCAAAAATTCAATAAAACGATAAAATAATGTATTTGTAAAAGAAAACAAAATTTATAGATTCAAAACAAGAACTCATTATTTTATTAAAGACGTATTCTGTTTGACATTCAAACAAAATTTTAGTTTTAAAACATATTTATTATTTGTTGTAATCTAATGTAAGGGCATTCAAATTTTACGGTTTTAATAAACATGCATTGTTAAGAAGTTTCCCTCTGAAATTATGGCGAAATAACCGACAGTAGTCTGACCATTTAAGGAATCGTAAAATTTATGGTTAGAAACATTTTTTTTTACCTTCATGGTTTTGAAACCATGTTCTCTGGTTAAAAAAACGAGATATATTATATGATGTGATATAGTTAAAAAAAACATGAATACAAAACTAAAGATTTTGTGACCATTAACAAATAGTATGGTTTCAAAACTCTCAAAATGTAACTTATTTTGACATTGGAGTCAGGTGGAGTTGTATTTAGTCCATTGAGCAATGAAATGAAACTTAATTAGTTTATCTAGTGGCGCCATCTATCGTGAGAGGTGGAGCAAATATTGTGACGTCAACGTTGGGACTCAACCCCGTGTCATGAAATTGACATATTAGTCGCCTCTGCTAAAGTATGTACTTAGCTGCAAAGAATTAAGAAGTTTTCAAAATTCAGGGATAAAATTTTGGTTATTTGACCCTATTAAATGAAAAAAGTCAATAAGCGATTTTCCTTCCTTTCTTTTAATTGACCGTTAAGGTTGAATATGGTAAAATAGTAATTAAAGAAATTGTGTTAAAGAGCCACACTTTCCAAAAAACTTCTAACATATGACAATCCCACAAGGGATTATAAAACTGAAGGGAATGAAATAATTCATTTGAATTCCATTCTCTAGATTTGAAATTCATTCTTTAAATTTGAATTTCATTCTCTAAATTTGAATTTTATTGTTTAAATTTAAAATTCATTCTACTTTAATTGACTTATTTTGCTATTAGTTTTATGTAGTTATCAATCTGTAACTGCAATAAAATAATATAAAACAATATTGCTTTTTCCTAATGTAAATTTCAATAATAGTTTTGAATTTCATATTTCCATGTTTTATAGCTGCAACATTGTAATTCAGACAAAATTCGCAATTTCATTTATTTAATTTTGAAACCATTTATAAATCCTTGATTATATAACATTGATTTTTTATGTTTATATTGTTCCTTTTTTAAGTAAAAGGCTTTTAAATTAATTGTAATTTATTACCGGAAATGAATTGTTGTAGGATTTTAATATTTAGTCTTCAAAGCTCAAATTCAAAAATAATGGATCAAAAATGTATGTATAACCTTCCGAATGCTTGAATTGCAAGCCTGCTGACGGTAATTACTAATTTCATTCAATTGTGCTTAAATTAATAAATTTATTTTAATTGCTATTTATTGAAGCCTTTCCAGAAACAGTGTCAATTTTCGTAAAGAAAAAGTTGAAACATAGGGAGCTCAATTTAAAAACTATCATAGTTTATTTTCTGAAAAATATTATTGGAAATTAAAAGTAGCTCTCTATTAGACATTTAATTTCAAATAAATTATTCACTAGAAATTAAAAAATCGTATAAACTAATAATTATTTTCCTTTATTTGACTTATTCGGTAAGCGCAGTAAAATAAATTTGTGCTTGTTTGAAAAATAAATATAATAAATGAACAGTAGCTTCCTATTTAAGACCATAATTTTAATTTTATTAAATTTATTTAGTGTTAATTTTTGTTAGGGAATTAATTTTATTGGTCGATTTATTTCAGTTTATTTAGCGAAGAATTATGAACTGCATTTGTTTACCATTAACACCATTTGTTATACCATTAAAGTAGAAATACATATTTAATTTATTCTTTTTAACAGTCTTTAACACATCTTAAAAAGTTCAACGTTGCATTTCCAAAGTTTATTTGGTTAATTGAAAGAAGAAACATTTATTTTTATTCTAATAATTGGGTTGAGGTACAATAAATGCATAATTATTAATAATAAAGAAGACAGCTCTTATTAATATTTTTATCATCCAAAAAACCAAACAAAAACTTAGTTTGAAACGAATTAATCTTAAAACTAGTAAAATTAACTAACTGACTATAAGGATTCTAAAAGAGAAAAAAAATAGTATAAAAATTTAAAAATTAATAATCATGCATCGTTAATTTTAAAGAATTTTCGAAAAAATTCTAATTACAGTGAAATAAGTATTAATTATATGTTATTGTTAAGAAAATAATTTTGACCATGCATAAGTTTCCTCCTTAATATCAAAAATCATAAAATAAATAAAATGTTCTTCAAATATTAAAAAAAATCATGTATCCTTGACTGATACGTATTAATTTTTAGTTATGCTAAAATAATCACTCTTATTTATTTTATCACATTTAAAATCACGCAAATAAATAACACAACATTTAAAATCATATTATATTTTCATTGCACTTTTTTTTAAAAATATACTTCACTCCCGCATTAAGTATTCAATCGATTAGGCTATAAACGTATTGTAATTTTATTTAAGAAAATTAATTTGTTTTATTTTATGTATTTTTTATAGTAACCTTATAACTTCATATACAAACAACAAATTTGAAAAAAATATATATACATTTTTAAACCCATTTTAATACTTTTATCTTATAGTTTTTTTTTTAAGAAAAAATGTTAAGATTAATTTCAGTTCTTGATATTTAAATGGCGGAACGATATAAAATAATATTATAATTCCTTCTTTGATAATCTGTTACATGTCTTATTGTATGTTTGTTATGCAACATAGGAATGGGTGGATGTGAACCTCAGGTGGAACGCCTCAGAGTTTGGAGGTATACAAGATCTTAGAATACCTCCGCACAAAATTTGGAAACCAGACGTCCTTATGTACAATAGGTGAGTGAGTTGTTAATTTTTTCAATGAAATATACTAAATTGTTTATTCAATAATAACAAAAAAATAGCATAAATATTAAAAGTAACAAAAATGCAGCTTAAAAAAAAGTAATGAAGAGAAATAAAAAGAAAATAATACCATAATATATTTCAGCATTATATTGAGAAAGACAAATCCGAATAAAAGACATCCTCTATTTAAGGGACAGCTTTTCTTTGTCCCTTTGAATATAAAGCTTAATGTGTATACTTCTTACAGTTTCTCTAAAAAGAGTAACAAGAAGTAAGATAAAGGTAGAGAAAAACAAAATATGAATATGTTTTGTTAGTACATTTATTTCTTGTTTTTGAATATTGCTATTTCAGAGAGAGAAAGAACAACGTGCAAGAACAAGACATACACCATGATGTTATCAAAAGGCATTTAACATTTTTGAAGGTAAATGAGGAGAAAGCAGGAACAATGTTCTTCACTAAGCAAGAACTTTCTTGGTGGTATTGGGGGAGGACAGAAACAATTGAGAAATAACTTCAACTTCCGCATTTAATTGGAAGATTCAATTAGCAAAATATAAGGCATGGTATTTGTTCCAAAATTCCTAACTGTGTCGCCACTAGACTTTCTGCTTTAAATGGCTCAAGAAAGTGATGTCACTTAAGTCACAAGAGGGGGTAAATTTATGACTCGATGCATTTTTAAATGAATTACTAGGCGTCATTTCCGGTATTTTCCTCCCCCGATAGATATTTTATTAGTTACTGGTGCCATAAAAACTGGTGACTTTTAAGAAACATTTTAAAAATCTTGCTTTTTTTTTACTTGTTCGGATTTAAGAATAGAATTTTTTGTGTTCAGTGTTTTTTTTTTACATTCTTTGTTAGAACCGATTCCACGAATTCCACAAAACCATTTTCATTGCGTCCGCTTATGAGCCACTTCTCATGTTTAAATTACGTATCGTGTGAAACTATCACAACTCAGATTCGAAAATGCAGTGGCGCACTGAATCTGATTTTTCCGCTAGTCAGAACACTGTACCAGTCAGGATAAGAAAGTGAGCAATGTAAATAAGGATGATTGAAGTAAAGTGACACAATCATTATTTTCTGAATTACCATTCTTGTATTTGGCAGAAGCCAATTTTCAAGCTATTGAGGAACAGTCTAGAAGGTTACCCATTCTAGACTGGGAAAAAGAATCATGCAAACTTTTTTTATTTTAGTTTCAATGAATAAAATTTCATTTAACTTTTAAACATTTGTTTTCAATTGTCATCATAAAATAATTACCCCTTCTCCCCTGCAATTTGGCTTCAACAAAAGAAATTTGATCTGGCAAACTTGTTCCATGAATTCTACGAATCATTTCGTTTGTTCCACAACTCGTTTGCTCTTGAAGGAACATTTCGTGTCTGATGAGTTCAGTGCGTTATTTTTCTATCAAAATTTAATTGATTTCTACTTGTTCAAAATGTTTAGGAAAGTTTTGCAGCAATAGGTGCAACGAAAGCTACTTTGCTATCTAACAACAACAAAAAACGCTAACAGAATTTTTTTTTTTGCAAGGAACATGTAAATGTCGCATGTAATTAATAAATGAGGTATAATAATTACTACATATGATTAACACTCCAAGAAAATAATACATAAAAAATTTCGTTTGCAATAAATGTTAAATGTTGCAATTAACATTTAACAAATGCTGCTCGATTTGTATTAAAACAATGATATCGAGTATGATATAATAATTTAGAAATAAATATTATCATGTTTTATTAAGTTTTTATCTCAAAAGGAATGGTAAAGAGCTTCAAATAGTTGAGCAGTAAACAATTTCTACAGGGAGAAAAAACCATATTGTATAGCAATGACATTTGTGGTAAACAAAATGCCCTAACTCTGGTTAATAAAATCAAATTATGCGGTATTTAGGCCATTCACTTGGTAATTTTTCCATTTATATAGTAGCGGCTTACCAGAAATACAGATTTTCAAAATTAAAGTTCGTTTTACCACACATTTAATGCAACTTTCAAAACCAAAAAGTAACTTTTAAATGATTATAATGAATAATAAATGATTAAATGATAAACGTATAAATGATTTTTGACTTGCACTAATATTGAAAAAACTACCAAATTTTGTCACAAGTTATAAAGCCATATTTTATTTATAATTTTACCCAAAATCAGTGCCAAATGAAACGGTAAAAATTGTCGAGCTTGTTGGTGTTCCCAAAGAGCCAGAAACACGGTAAACTTAACTATATTCTGGTTGTGTTAACCACACATTGCTTACCAGGTTAAAAACCAAAAGTATTATAATCCAATAAAGCCTATAACATATTTAAAAAGCGTTCACACTAATTTACACAGCTGGCCATTAAAATTGCTACACCTAGAAGGAATGCAAATAACAGAATGATACTTATTGGACTCATACATAATAGTTGGAAGAACAAGTGATTTAATTTTCAGGATATTTGGATGTATACATCCTGAGGAATCAATACTCAGAGCAGCTACCCCTGGCATCAATAACAGCAGTTATTCTCCTGGGCATCGTGTCGAAAAGAAATTGAATAGCATGGACGGGTGCAGCATTCTATGCAGCTTCAACATTATGCCACAATTCATCTACCGTAGTGACTGACGAGTGGTGGCGTGCCAGTTGTTCGGCAACCAATGATCGGAAACTTATAATTGGTGAGAGATCAGAAGAACGTGCTGGTAAGGGCAACTGGCGAACATGTTCTGTGTCAAGGAAGGTCAGGACAGTGAGGGCAACATGCGGTCGTGCATTGTCCTGCTGTAATCCTATAGAACGTAGCGTTATGGAGGTCTCGAAGATAAGGCAGAGAAACTGGCCCTNTCCTTGAGTTGGCAAAAGTCAGTATAATCAGATCGTCTGCAAAAGCTTGGATCATATAATTTTCAGAATGTATGTTAAGCAAACTATTGATAGTGAGATTCCATGTAATGGCTGCTGTTCAAAGTGCCGGCAATGTGGACAAGAGGGGAACAAGACGTGTATCCAATGGTATCCCATACCATTACTCCAGGTGATGGGCTAGAACGACGATGTCGAAAGCAAGCTGCCAATGGGTGTTCTCCACGATGTCACCAAACACGGATGTGGCCATCATGATGCTGTATACAAAACCTGGATTCATCTGAAAGACGACGTCATGCCATTTCTGCATCCAGGTTCGTCGTTGATAACACCTTTGGAGGCCCTCCTGCCTGTGATGCAGCGTCAAGTGTAACCGAAGCCATGGTCGCCGTACTGACAGTCCATGCTGCTGCAAACGTCGTCGAACTGCTCGTGTAGACAATTGTTGTCTTGCAAATGATCCCATTTTTTGACTCAGGGTTCGTGACGCTGCTGTACTATCCCTTAAGGCCATGTGGATAACATGTCTCTCTTCTCGGCTGTTTGTGATGGTAGGCTGTTAATATAAACTCAATTAGCACAATCTTTTTTTGTTAAAAACATTACGTTTTCGAAAAATTTACTTCTGTTAAATAGATTTCAATGTGAATTGATGATTAGATGAATTTTCACTAAACACGAAACAACTTTGAAATTATTCACCATTTTCTACATTACGAAAACGCGCCCAAAAAATAAGAGTGATAAAATCTTGACTTTCGTACAATCAATATTCGCTATTTTTCCAGCTGCTTGGATTTAAAGAGAAAACAAAATTTCAGAAATAATAGTAACGATTGTTATGAGGGATATTAAAATCGATTTTTCGAATTTCCTTTTTATTCTTTTTTTAATTCACTTTTTCAAAACTCTGTAATTTAGTTAATACAGTATCCCACATCATTAAATATAAATTCTAATATTAACATAATTAGCGAAAAAAAAATTTAAATACTCACTTTCACAGAATTTACTTTTTTTTAAACTTATTTCAATGTGAATCGTGAATTAAATGAATTTTCACTAAACAAAAAATAACTTTGGAGTTATTCATCATTTTGTATATTGCTAAAAACACTATCAAAAAATAAGACTGATAAAATCTTGACTTTTGCACAATCAATATTCGTTTTTTTTTTTCAGCTGCTTGGATTTAAAGAGAAAAAAAAACATTTATCAGAAATAGCAGTAACGATTGTTATGAGGGATATTAAAATCGATTTTTTTTAAATTCCTTTTTAATCTTGTTTAATTTACTTTTAAAAACTCTGCAATTTAGTTAATACAGTAGTGCACATACTTTCAACTACTCATCGATCCATTTTAAATCGAATTCTTTATATAAAAAAAACGCAAGAAATCATTGGCTTATAGATTTTAATTTCAGAGCAATTTATTTACAATTTTGATAAATAAAGCTATGCGTTGTTTATTTTATTTAACTGATATAGGATTTTTGTTTGCCTTATTGGGGAAATATTCCATACGTCTACTGAGGCTACACATTTTAGATTTTAGATGAAATTTCTGGAAAAATAGAAACGAGCTAAACTAGTTATTGATTACAATTCCTTTTGAATTACTGCCAATAAAGCATCTGGCGTCACTTGATGAAAAAAAAAAGATATTTTACGCCAAACTTCTCTTATCAGGTTTGAATTACGTCTTTAATCGCGAATAAGCTCGAGTTTCTTACCGATTCTTTTATCGCTTCGTCAAACCCCATTTATTTTGCGCTTTCGCCAACGCTTTTTATTTCTTCTGGATGCTTATTTCCAACTTCTTATTTTTCTATCTATCTTTCTTAAGAATATTTTTTGATGATATTGCAACTTTTATTTCAGTCTCCCCCACCCGACTTTTACCCATTTTTTTTTTAACTTTTTATACCGACTACTTTGAAAAGTTTAACTAGCTATTTTTTCATCTCTTTTCAAAAAGAAGAGTGTATTCATTTTCTCCCTCTCTCAACCAGTTTTTTTTTTTTTTTTTTTTTTTTTTTTTTGAAAAAAGAAAAAAAAAATACATAGTGTTGTCCTTTTTCTCGTATCTCTACTATAGCGTCAGCT